TAGTAAAAGTAGACTTTAAATAATATCTTATATTATATTACTTTATATAAGGCTAAAGTGGGCTGGTTTGCGCTAGAATAGGGTAGTTTTAGTAGAGGCTTAGCAAAAGTGGCCGGCTAACCTGTTAGGTACGTTAAATAAGTTTAAAGTTATTTTTAAAGCTTTTAAAAGTATTAACTTATACATAGCATGTTAGTTAGACTTAAAGAAAAGAAGCTTAAAAAGTAGAAAAATTTATTTACCTTTATTACAGCAATTACAGCACGCACGTGACCTGCGCTGCCTAAGGAAACAAGCATTGCGCTGCCTAAGGAAATAAGTATTGCGCTGCCTAAGGAAATAAGCACAAACATAGAGTAAATGCGCAGCGCTGCTCTAATAAGCTAAGTTAACGCTTAACGCAGGTAAGCTGCTGCACAGCTCACCTGGGGGGTGTGTTGCGTATATAGAGAGCCTTAGCTGGGGCTTAGAGCCTAGGACGCAGCTTAGGATCTAGAGATATTATGTTCTAAAGCTTAGTGTATATAAGAAGAGCCTTCAGCTCTCTTAGATAGCAGAGTCACTTCATCTAATCTTCTAAACAGCTACTGCCAGGCTATTTTATCCTCCACATAAACTACTAGGCATATTAATAGTGCTAGAATAGTTAAAAGTAGAGCTTTAGTTACATAAAAGTATCTGCTCTAAGTAGTTAAATCTAATTATGTTAAAGTGCTACTAAAAGTTTATTTTTTAGTATTTTTAAAATAAGCTTATAATTTTATTAACTTAAAGTCTACTTTTACTACTAAAAAAGTGCTATACTAGCTATAATTTATTTTTAGTTATAAATACTTAAAAGCTAAGTCTAGTTACATAGCTAACTACACCTTTACTAAAAGCTAAGGCTAAAGTTGCTCTTAAGCAAATTTAAGTTAAATATAGTAAAGTAGCACTTTTTATTTACATTAATAATAAAAACATATTATAAGAGCCTAGTTTTTTTATATTTATAGTTAATAAAGTTTTTATTTTACTACTTAAATTTATTTTTATACTAGTTAAGTTCTAATAAAAACTAGCCTATAAAGTTAAAAAAGCTTAAAATGCTATAAAGTTTAGTATAGTGTTTACTTAAAAATACTTTCTTAATACTAGTGTTCTACTACAGTAGTAATATTTTAATATATATATATAAGCTAGGCTTCTACGCCTTTTTTTATAGTATTATAGATAGTGTATGCGCTTTATTAGCAACAGTTCTCTAAGTAATATATAAAAAAAAGTAATAAAAACTTATTATTAAATTTAGCTACTTTTTAGTAAAGTAGCACTCTCTTTACTTTTCTAAAACTTGCTTTAAGAGATAAAGATAACTAAGTTATGTTATAATCTACGCACACTTTTTAATTATATACAGCCTATTATAAGCGCATTTATAGACAAGTAGTAGTTACTGCTGTCTCTGTAGGCGTCTTGTCTACAAAGAAGGCGCTAGTCTTTATTAGCCCTACAGGTCTATGTCTGCTGTTTACATTAGAGTTATCTGCTATGTTATGTTTTATAACTATAAATATGTTATTTTTATTAGCATATATACTATTAGATTTTTTATCTTTACTTAATATTACTGTGCAGTATAATAATAGTAGCTAACCTAGTCTAGCACTTATAACTAAAAGCGCTTTTTCTTTATTTTTATTTATTAGAACTTTATTAACGTACTTTATAGGCAAGTTGCTTACACACCTAAGTTGCTTACTTTTGCTAAGACTCTACTACACTACTTTTTTTACACTAATGCATTTTTAATAACACTACTTAGACATGTTAAAAGAATATTAAATATAGCGTATACTTTAAGCTTTTAAATAAAATGTAACACTTTTTAAGTAACATGCTATAGCTATTTATAAAGTTTTTTAAAAAATAATAAGTAACTAACATACTAAATAACTTTTTTAAGCTAATTATATAGCTAACTTATAAAAGCTAAATAATAATAAAAAGTAGGTAATTATTTAGCATATACTTATACTAAATATGCAAAGATTTCTCTTTTAGCTAGCAGCTATAGCTAATATAGCTAATTTTTTACACGCTAAGTATAATATAAGCTATATTAGTATAAACTAGCTTAATATGTTTATTAAGTGTTACTTAAAGCTTAAAGTAAAGTTTAAGTATAACTATAACTATAAAAAAGCTTTTTATAAAATTTTTATAGTAATTTAAAGCTAGTTTAACTTTATAAAAAATATTAAAGCTAAGTATAGTATTTAAAATAATAACACATATAACTTTAATAAAATAAGGTTTATAATAGGCTAAATATTTACTAAAGTAGTTATTATAAGTTTAGAAAGATAAAGATAGCTAAAAGTAGTTTAGCTAAGTAACTAAAAGTAAATAATAGCTATTTAGAGCACTAATACTAAAAAGTAAGCTATGTTACTTTTTATTATTTTTTAAAGTAGTAACTACTTTTTAAACTAGTATAAAAAAATTTACTTTAAAATTAAGTTATTATAATTTTTAAGTATAGCTAAACTACTAATTAGCTTAGTCTAGACTAGTTAAAGCACTTTAATATGTATATAAAAAAGTGTACTATTAGTAGCTACTATTTACTAGTTATTAATAGCTATAAAAGCTATAACTTACTTTATTTTTAGTAATACTATAAAAATAATAAAATTATTACTATTTATATACTTTTTTACTTATTATACTTTTTATAGCTATTTAATGTAGGTTATTTTACTTTTTTAAAAAAAGTATATAAGTGCTAAGCTAAAAACTTTATATATAACTAAATTACTTATATTATAAAAATAAAGTTTTTACTATGCTTTAAAGTAGCTTATAATACTATAATTACTTTTAGTAATATTTAAAAAAAGTTTTAAAGTACTAAATTAGTTTTTTTTAACTTATAATAAGTTATAATAGGCTTTAATGTAAAGTTATACACTTTATTACTACTACTACTTATATATAATAAGCCCTAGTAGTTATAAACTTTAAGTAATACTTTAAAACTTAAGTTATAATTAATACTTATAAAAATAAAAATTTAAAAATATATAAATAGTTTACTAACTTTTATAGTTAAAGTGTTTAAAAAAGTTTTAAAAAAGTAGTAATAATTATATATAAGCTAGTATTAGTGTAATAGAAAATTAATAAGCTTTAAACAGCTAATAAAGCTACTATATAATATAAATTATATAAAAAAAAGTAGATTAAAGTAAAAAAAACTTTAATAATTTAAAAAAGCTTATACTTAATAGCTCTAAAAAAGTTTAAAGCGCGCAGTAATAAAAAAAAAGTAAAAAAGTAAGTGTAAGCTAAAGTAAGTAAGCTATTTTAAAGGCGCTATAAATAGTGTAATTAGACTAGGCATAATACATAAATGTATAAGTAAGAAGTAGAAGTAGTATCTAAATAATATTCTAGGCTATACTATACTATATAGTGCTAGAGTAGGTTGTTATAGGCTATAATAGAGTTTGTTAGGGTGGGGTCTTAGCAAAAGTAAGCAACTTAGGTGTGTGAGCAACTCGTCTGTGAAGTACGTTAGCATAAAATTAAGTAAAAGACTAATTGTTTAGAATAGTTGCTTATTTAGCCTTAGCGCTAAATTAATTCATGGATCTGATCTAGATCTAGGATAGCGCCACGTGATTCCGGATAATCGATTCGGACCGATTCCCGCCAGCACTGCACCGGCATCGGTCTGTCCTTCCTCCGTGGGGTTGGAGACCCGCATGTTCCTCTGGCCCAACCAGCGGTTGTAACAGCTTGTTAGAAGTTTATAGGCTAAATTATAAGCTCTTTGTAACGGCGCAGGCAAGACAATGGGTCCGAATGCGGTATGAATCCACTCAGAGGCATATGGGAGTGCGTGGGGACTCAGAGACCTGGGAATACCAATGACACCTATAGGCCTTGTACGTAGGATATCAGAAAACTACCGAGCTAGCTACGGGGGCGAGGTGCGACTAAATACATGCGGGAATAGGGGTAACTGCGGGGGACTGGGTCGAGTCATGGTCGGGGCCGATACGGGGACCCTTCGGATAGGATCCGAGCGACCCGAGATGGAACGATTCGTAGAATCGTTACACTCTTATACAAATTTAGTTAGCAGAAAGCAAAATTTACGGCGCCACTAAGACATTGCATGGATTAATGCACACAATAGACGCAGTAATTAATAACGTTAGGATTCTTGTTTGTTGTGATATATTGCCATTCTGAATATCATTTCTTCCTGCTTGATTGATGTGCCGTGAACAAATGCCGCCCTAGCTTGCCTCAGATCCTGATCAGGGCGGTATGAAACAGTTGAAAACTTGATTAATGATCAGAACTCTCCTCTGTTGTCCTCTGCAACCCGCTGAAGCATCACATTGCAGATTCTCCCCGTTTTCACCACATCCACCGGGAAGCATTTACAGTTGCCATTCGCTGTGGTCCAGGTGAACTGGACGTTACATCTTCCAGGCCGAGTCAGAAGAGTCTGATCCAGCGTCCCCGGTACTTATAATTTAGTAGCTGATGATTGCGCGTGTCTAGGGGCCGTGAAAAGCGGCTTGGCGAAGCTCCTGGACCCCAATTCCATGGGCAGCGAGTGATGAAGTAAATGTTGGAATCTGGGAGTGAGAGTGGAAGCGGACACCCTCTCGCTCGCCGCGAGTCTCCGAGCGAGAAGAAGGAAGTTACGAAGATAGGGAGAGGTTACGATTTCTCGAGGCGTCTGGTAATCTAGATGATCGTGTGCCCTGTTTCCGTGTAGGGAATGGCGCATGACCGCCCTGACGGCATCCATCCACCCACGCCGCGCTTCTCAGTGGCCGTCTGACGACGTGCTGCGACCATTCCTGCCATAGTTGCCTCTTCTCGACAACACTGAGGGGCACCTGTTGCACGCACAACTTTGCGTCTGCATGCTAATACTTCCCTTTATACTAGGCTTTTCAAGGGAACCTGCGATACAACATTCATGCTTATAGGACATGCCTCGATTTAAGTTATCGAGGCCCGCCAGTCTTGCGGACGCGTTCAACAGGGTTTCTCTTATCCTCACACTGGCTGTTGTGACTGCTACGTTGTACCGACACCACCTTCACAGTATGACAAACCTCCCTAGGGTGCTGGCTGCTTCATCCTCGCTGCTAACCGTGGTGTGTGTGCTAATAATACTACTTCAGACGCTGCAGACCCATACAAATGCGATGCCCTCATCAATCACGGCCAATGGCTCGACTCACCGGATCGCGAACCTGAACACAAACCCTTCACGAGCTGGCAGCCCCCAGGATGCATGCTTCACGAATACACGGCCGAGGAGGTTGCAAGTTGCAACGATGGGGGAAAGATACTTTTTGTGGGCGATACGGGGACCCGCCAGGTCTTCTGGGCCGCCGCGCGGAAGTTGGACAAGAACTGGGTCTTCAAGGAGCAGGCTCAACTCAACACCCATGGTGACATTGAATACTGCAAGGCTAGCGCCTGCCTTAAGTTTCTCTGGGACCCGTGGCTGAACACGTCTGCGCTCCACGATGAATTGAGGGTGTTCCGAGCACGTCAGGACCCAGAAGCAACTTCAGCTCCCAAATCCGTGCCAGGACTCAACATGGGCACGAGAAGATCCGTGGCCATTCTGATTGGGGGCGGGTTGTGGCACGCTCGACACATCCAAATTGGTTCGCTGAGGTTCTTCCAGGATTCGGTCAACAACATCACGGCTTCTGCATACTCGCCAGGGACAATGGCGAGTATACGCAACATCCCGATTTCCGGCAAGGAAGGTATTCACGATCAGATCTTCTTTGCGGCCGTACTAGAACCACAGTACGAAAAGCTCAGCCCATCTAGGCAATTGACTATTATCCCGGAGAAGATCAATGAGATGAACGACTACCTCGAGCAGCTCTCTCTCCACCAAGGTTTAAACGTGCTATGGAGCTATGCTGATATGACAAGAGGGATTCCAGAGACTTACGGCGAGAGTGGACTACACGTGATTGAGAATGTTGCTGGTAGAATGGCAGAAGTTCTCCTCAACCTCCGATGTAATGCTAAAGCTGCCTATCAAGACGGATACCCCTTCGACCGAACATGCTGTAGCAACTACAGGCCAACCAACTGGATTCAGCTTCTTGGGATACTGTTCGCTCTTGTGATATTACCGATTATTGCGATTAAGGCCGAGAGAGGCATGTCCTCAGCCACATCGAGAGTTCGTTTTGACAAGATAGTGCGCCAACGATCGTCATCACTGTCTGTCAACGTTACAGCGAGCATTCCTCTTGCATTTTTAACGCTCCTTCTCGCCGTCTGTTTCTGTTTCCTGACGGACAGGACTCAAATATTCGACAAAGTTCGCAAGCAATACACCGTGCTCGACTTTAGATATCTGATCACTCTTGCTGTAGTCAGCTGTCTTCTTACCATCCGAGGATCACCTTCATCCCTAGGCAGACGTCGGTCAGACTCTTTCCCAGGTTTAGAAGTCCAACAGGCCTTCCTCCCTCGAAGTCAATCCGAAGAGTTCAAAGGATGGATGCAAATGTACGTCCTAATTTACGGCTATACTGGAGCTTCTGGTGAATTGGACTTTTATCAAGTACTTCGTGTCTTCTTGGCACTTTACCTGTTTCTATCTGGGTATGGACACACAATGTACTTCCTGCAAAAGAGGGATTATTCGCTGCAAAGACTGGTTACTGTCTTGCTCCGAATGAATACGCTCGCGGTATTCCTCTCTTTCATGATGGCCAGACCTTATACGTCGTACTACTTCCCTCCCCTCGTTAGTTTCTGGTTCGTTGTTGTTTACGCAACCCTGAGAATAGCAAACAGTCGGAACGAGTCCTTACCCTTTATTATTGGAAAAGTAATAACCTCGGCCCTATTCACCTCGGTATTCATCCATTTGAAGGGGATTCTCGAACTCATTTCCTTCGGTCTCGACATCGCCTGTCGAGCGAATTTGAATGTAGACGAGTGGAGATTTCAGCTTGGAACCGACAAGTATATCGTTTACGTTGGCATGCTGGCTGCCATTTTCTACATACGGATCTCGACCATCTTAAACACGCCCTATCCTCGTCAGAGCACGTTTGGTCAGACCCTGACTAGGTCTTTTCCGCTTATCCGCTTCCTCGCTCTGTTTCTGTCTATCATCACCATTCCAATCTTCTGGATCCTTACACGTCGATCCCACGACAAGGCTGACTACAATTGGTGGATGCCGACCATTTCTTGGCTTCCTGTGTTGTCTTTCGTGGTCCTACGAAATGCCACCAGATTCCTAAGGAACTACTATTGCGCAGCTTTTTCATGGCTTGGACGGATATCACTGGAGACATATCTCCTCTCCCAGCATATCTGGATGGCTGGTGATGGGCACGGGATTCTTCGCAGCGGACTCTTCAAAGGCGATGGAACGATTAAGAATGACCGATGGCGAGACCTAGCGCTCCTCACACCGATATATATTTGGCTGGCCTGGAGGGTTTATGCTGCAACTGCAACTATCACAGCCTGGGTCATGATGGCTGGTGAGGAAGGATTGCGTCCACAGGATGCTGCGAAGGCCACTCATGTTCGAGCGGGGAGTGCGCTCGCGTTTCTGGGTTATGACAATGCGCTTCCAAGCCCGAATACGCAAGGAGACATGAAGGCGGGGATGGAGAAGAAGACAGGCAAGTATGACACGCCACCGGATTTGAGGAGGAGGCTGGTGCCCATCGGGGTAGTGCTGTGGATCGCCAATCTTGTGGGTTGATGCCCTGGAACTGCGAGAGGACGAATACTGATGTCTTGTAGTTGTACATATGATGTTTCGTGATGGTCGCAGCATTTTGATATTGCATTTACCGGCGGGTTCAAGACTACGTTGGTGGTGATTTGCTTCTTGAGGAAATTATGTCCTTGCGTCGCATTGGGCTGCGTGACTCAGCGTCAGAATAGTTAACGTGTTTTATTTATCTCAGCTAGCTCAGACGGCATGCCAAGAAGACACTAGTACACAAATAGTATAGATACTTTCAGACCCCTGCTGGGGCTTCTTCCTTCTTGGCTGCTGTCTGAGGGACTTTGGTGCAGCGCGACGTGTGCAAAGCTTTGTCTATTAACTTACTAGAAACTCTTATACAAGATACTATTACACATAGCTTATTATAGCGCCTATAATTAAAATTAATTACTTAAAGAGTATATATAATCTACTTTAAACTATTTTTAAATAAATTTCTAACATTCTAACTATAAAAATTATAGGCTTAGCATTGTACATGTTCTAACGCGCAACTATTCTTCTTAACCCTGTCCTTTACTAGTCTATCTACTTGTGTTTAACTATTAATAACAGCTAAGATTAACTAACTCACCTTAATTTAGCCTCTAGAACACGCTCTCTGTCTTAAATAAGGCATGCTAGGTTTAAAGGCTGCTGCATAGATTTAAAACAGTAACACATAGTACAAGCAGAATAGTCCTAATCTATAATTAAGTTATTTAGTAGATGCATAAGTGTTGCCTAGTTTAGTAAATTACAGTAAAAAGCGCGCTTATTATAATTAAATATTACTTATTAAGTGTTACTAGGCACCTTGTTAACAAGACCCTAAGTTCTTTACTAGAACACTAGAGAGCGCTATACTAACAAGAATCTAAGCTGTATAAGAAGAGATTACGCATATTTTTTTATTTAATAAAGATAATAATATCTTTATAACTATCTATATAGTTATAGTTTAATGTTAAAAACTATGTAGTATTAGCTTATAAAAGCCTTTTATTTAAAATACTCTTTTCTTTTTACTTAGTAAAAGGGAACTACATACTAAGTAGGTCTATGTTGTCTAACGCCTTGTCTTTAGTTTAGGCAATATAATTCTAGTTGCAAAGACTAGGTTTAGTAAGAGTATTACACTGCATGTGTATTTAGTAATAATAAGGTATATAATACTTTAGATTATCCTATTATTAAAGCTTAAAAAAAAGTAAAAAAAAAAAATTATAAAATATTCTAAAGCTTATTTATGCTTTATTACTATAAAAATAAAGAATTTTAATTCTAAACTCTTTAGTAAGATCTTTAAAAAACATTATACATATATTTTTTTTAGCTTTAAGTAGGTAATCTTTTTAGTATTTTATTATCTTTTTTTTATAGGCAGCTTTATAAACTAAGTCTAACTAGTTATAATTAATAAGTGCTATGTTATTTAGCAGTAGTGTAAATTTTAAACAGCATATATCTAGTTTTATAAGCTTTATTAGATAATATATTTTACAACTCTTTTCTTTACATGTACAGCAACTTTAGATGCTGCAACTAAGGCCTAGCTTTTTAAAAGTAGATGTTTTTAAGCGCTAGCAACTAGTAACAATAACACTTCTATGCAGCTAAGAATTATACGCACCTCTGTTAATAGGCTAGAGATTGCTATTAGAATTGTCTTAATTTTAACTAGCTGCTAGACGTTATATAACTAGCTTTTAAACTATATAGATGTAGGAATTAATGTAGAAATATTATAAATTATTTTCTTATGCATCTTAAAAATAATTATATTTTTAAATAAAAAAAATAAAATTACTACTTTAGCTTAGCTTTTTTAAAGTTAACTTCTAAAAAAAAGCTGTCTACTTATAGATATTTAATTAGTGTTAGTAGTATATATAAAGCATATGTTAAAGTTTAACTAAGCTTAAATATATGCTAATTTCTTAAAGAACAAGTTTTTAATCTAAGTTGCTATTACTACAACTGCGCTTAGAATAGGTATAAATCTGTCTAATGTCTAGCGTGTTTATTAGTAGTTAATTTTAATTATAGATAATATTAGAGACTTAATCTAGCAGTTTAGTTATAGAGTAAGAAGACCTAAATAACATGTAACTACTATACTATTTATTCTATATTATGCCTTTAACTACTTTAGAAGAGGGCTAGTAAACTGCTTTAAATTAAAGTAGTTATAAAGTTAGTAAGCTAGTAAAAAAAAAAAGTTAATATAAAATAAGTTAGTGTTTATTATTTACACTTTATACTATGTCTACTATGTTAGACTTGTCTAAGGGCAATTACTCTAACTATACTAGTACACTAGTAGGGACAGCAACAAACTAGGCAAGGTAGGGAATATTAGCTAGTTAAGATGTGTAGGAGTAAGTCTAGTTAGCTTATTATAAACTACTAAGCATATTAATAGTGCTAGAATAGTTAAAAGTAGAGCTTTAGTTACATAAAAGTATCTGCTCTAAGTAGTTAAATTTAATTATGTTAAAGTGCTACTAAAAGTTTATTTTTTAGTATTTTTAGAATAAGCTTATAATTCTGTTAACTTAAAGTCTACTTTTACTACTAGAAAGGTGCTATACTAGCTGCAATTTATTCTTAGTTAAAAATACCTAGAAGCTAAGTCTAGTTGCGCAGCTAACTACGCCTTTACTAAAGGCTAAGGCTAGAGTTACCCTTAAGTAAATTTAAGTTAAATGTAGTAAAGTAGCACTTTCTATTTACATTAATAATAAGAATACATTATAAGGGCCTAGTTTTTTTATATTTATAGTTAATAAAGTCTTTATCTTACTACTTAAATCTATTTTTATACTAGTTAAGTTTTAATAAAAACTAGCCTATAAAGTTAGAAAAGCTTAAAATGCTGTAAAGTTTAGTATAGCATTTACTTAGAAACACTTTCTTAATACTAGTGTTCTACTACAGTAGTAATATTTTAACATATATAGGCTAGGCTTCTACACCTTTTTTTATAGTATTATAGATAGTGTTTGTGTGCTTTATTAGCAATAGTTCCCTAAGTAACATATAAAAAAAAGTAATAAAGACTTATTATTAAATTTAACTACTTTTTTAGTAGAGCAGCACTTTTTCTACTCTTCTAAGACTTGCCTTAAGGGATAAAAATAACTAAGTTGTGTTATAGGCTGTGTGCGCTTTCTAATTATGTGCGGCCTATTATAAGCGCATTTATAGGCAAGCAGTAGTTACTGCTGTCTCTGTAGGCGTCTTGTCTGCAGAGGAGGCGCCTGTCTCTATTAGCCCTACAGGTCTATGTCTGCTGTCTATATTAGAGTTGTCTGCTATGTTATGTTTTATAACTGTAGATATATTATTTTTATTAGCATATATACTATTAGATCCTTTGTCTTTACTTAATATTACTATGCAGTATAATAATAGTAGCTAACCTAGTCTAGCACTTATAACTAAAAGCGCCTTTTTTTTATTTTTATTTATTAAAACTTTATTAAGTATATAAGTGTTATTTAATATTACTTTCTTAGCTATAAATATATAGTTGTGTAAAGTCTAATTTAATAGTATATTATAAAAGCAGCGTAGGTCTTAGCTTGCTAAAAGTAGAGTTAGAGAAGAACTAGTGCAGCTATATTAGACAAGAGATTATAGTAATAGTAGAGTATAAAGAAGTGTATTACTAACTTTAAAGGCACAGCGTTTAGAGCTATTTTAGTAGTTATTTTAAAAAAAAAGGTAATAAAAGTTATTATACAGGTTATAAAGCTTGTCTAGGCGCACTAGAAGCAGGTTAGCTAGCGCTAGAAGTAATAGATAGTATAGGTTAGTTTTAATTTAAAACATAATATAGTTTATTATTTAAAGTAAAAGAAAGTAGTAGAAGTAATTAAGTATAGTAATTTAATTAGTAAGTTTTACTAAGTAACTTACACTATAAAAAAGGTTAGCAGCAGAGAGTGTAAGAGAATAGAGGATAGTTAAGCGCGCTAGTCTTAGTATTTTATAGTAAGGGCTGCGACCTTTCTAGATTAGGCAGTCTATAATATTAAGCGCGTATGTTGCAGCTAATATCTATCCTTGCATTTATAATTACACTTATTATTATAACTTTACGCGCAGTTTTTATTATAATTATAGCTTTTTTTACTTTATTTATTTTTTTAAGCTAATTTTTTTTTTATAGTTACATTTATATTTACTTTTATAACTACTACCTTTTTTATAAGTGTTGCTGCGCTTATAACTTTATTTATAACTATAGATATAGCTATAGTTATAATATTTACTTTATTTACTTTTTTTAAGCTAATTTTATTTTTCTTTTACTTATTTAAAGTGCTCTGTAACTTATATTATCTTAACATAAATTACGCCTACTAATTAAGCTAGCACCTGCTATACACATAACAGTAACTGCTTCTAACAGCTAGCGTTTTGCAGCATATAAAGGCAGGCTGTTTCTCCACCTTCTGCTCTTCTTTACTCTTAGCATTACCTCTAGCACTAACCTTCTGCGCTTTATTTTTAGCATTAACTTACTTAATAGCTTTTTACTTTTTACTTTTTACTTTTTACTATTTACTTTTTACTTTTTTATTTAATAGTAAGCTACTATACATAATTTATACATATTTAAAACTAATAAAGTAAAGTAAATAAGATATTAACTTACTTTTTAACTTTACTTTTTACTTTCTTAAGCTATTTATCTTAACTACTATCTACCTTACGCGCGCTAGCTATAACTATAGTTTACTATAAAAATGTCTATAAAGTTTGCAAGAAGTACTAGCTACTTATTAGTAAAGTAGACCTTACTAGCATGCTATAAGCCTATAATACCTTTACTGCGCTAGTAATAGCCTACCTAAGAGCTAATAAGAACATGCTTAACTTTAGCACTAGCGCTAGAAAAGCTATTATTACTATAAAGCTTATAGTAGGCAATAGCGTCTGTGTAGGTGTAGACATAGTATAGGGCTTTCTTAACATTAACGTCTCTGCCTGCCTTGCACGCAAAAAGCTCACGCGCGCTCTAGCTAGCTAGGACAACTAGAAGGTGTTCCTTCTTAAAGCTAGTGTTACATAGGGAGACCTTCTAAACCTTGTTATAGTGTGTGTTAGCTGCCTTATTAAGTTTAACATTATATTTACTGTTTACCTTTTTAACACTATTACGCCTGCTTATTATTAATAAGCCCTCTAGACCTAGAAGAAGATGCTAGCGCCTAG